TTCGAGTTCGATCCCAAGTCCATCAATTGGGACGATTATATCGCAAACACACATATTCCTGGCCTCATCACCTATGTGCTTAAACAATAAATTATATATAGTAATTTTTAATGTGATCTATTGAATTAATGAGTTTGAATCTCGTGTGTAATATGATTATGTCATCATAATTCTATTTCCTGTCGTTCTAAGAAAAATATTGTGTAAACTCAAGCATGAAATTAAATGAATATATTGTTTTAACTCATTGTATAACGAGGTCTTTTTTAGCAAATCAAAATATAATATATATATATATATGTGTGTGTAGGAAAAATTAATTAAACTCGCATAGAAATGACAAAGAGTTCTGAATCTCTGCCGACAAAGCAAAAGGATGCCTAACAGAAATAAATTCACAAACAGTACTCAGTGTGAATTTATTTCTGTCAATTTCCTAACCGAATTTTTCTTTGTTATACTTCAGTCAACAGAATGGATAAATTTGTCAAATGACTTTACTATTTCAATTATTTGGCTAAATGACAGAGTTAGAAAATAAGTGGAAATCTTATCTTTGCACTATTTGATCATAATATATTTTTTGGTGTGCGCATATTTGTTGCTATTATACTGTCAATGTGATTAAGTTTGTCGCACTGGCTACCCAATAACGTGTTATCGGAAGTCGGAAGAAAATATATGTTAGTACGTATTTGGTTAAGAGGTGCAAATGTAATCTCACTCTCATTCACTTGAGGATATTTTCTAATAAAAAAAAATTATCATGTCAAAAAAAGTGAACTATAATTGGCTATTTACTATGAATAATACTCTCTGACGTAACTATATATTTACAATTAAAATACCTGTAACCACCAAGGCCACAGATATGATTCAGCTAAGTGTCATCGAGGACAACAAAATCAATAGATAGCCTTGTCAGTTGAATTTAGTTCGACCGGACGAAACACAAGTGGACCATATACAAGAAATTTAGGATGTTTTACGTAATAGTTCTGGTTAAGCACAACTTGTTGAACCACTGCAACAAAATCAAAGTATATGATAAAAAAAATAAAAACCATTATATTTTATCTAAGTTTCTAAAGAGACTATTTACACAACAATTTCGTATCATTCTGTTGAAGGGGACTGGACAAGTCGACAGTCCAAGGCTCACTTTTTTTTTAAAAAAAAGAAAATTTCTGAGCTTTTTTCATACAATAAATGGTTGTTGAGCCTTCTTGCGTCCCCGTGTCTTTCTCGGGTTAGCACTGATCATGCAAGAGAATGCGTTTTCCAAATCCGAATCCTCTTCACTAGTGAGGAACTTTGCTGCAGCTGGATTTGCCAAGAGGAGCTTGGCCACTAGGTAACCCGCAATGGACCAAGTTTGGTAAAGCCGTGCCTGTTTACCGATGAATCTTGCTCTTTTGGTATCGTAGTACTCTGGCCATTTGTCTATAGCAATCCGTCTCTCGGCTAACTCAACCGCCTTTTCTGCAATCTCTGGTCTACCCATTTTGATGCTTGCTACTGTCAGCTGAAATATTACCAAGAAGAGACCCGGATTTCACATTAACACAAAAGGGCTTCAAAGAATTCATTTTGATAAACCAAAACCAAGTAGATGAGGTCTAAGAAAAAGGGGCAGAAAAGAATCTGAACAAACCTGCCATAACAATGTTGGCCAGGCACCTCCATTGTGATAAGACCAAGGACTGCAGCAAAATAAAGATGCTTAAGATGACAACTTGTTTGGGAGGAAAAAAGTGTATTGAAAATCTAAAACATCATCTATTGAAGATCATATGTAAGAGAGAGCTTACGTGTTCTTTGGATCACTTCCGGTAATAATTCGCCATTCTTCACCTTCCATAGCAGGGTAACAGATCTTGAATGGCATGTCTGCCACAAGTTCTGCCCATTTTGCTTCGACGAAATCAAGAATTGCATGTGATTGATCATTTGTAGCCAAACTGCTCACTATGGACCAAAGGTTTCCCAAAGAAAAGAATCTGAAATCCATGTGAGCGGGCTGAAGGTTTCCAAGCAAATATCCTCCTCTGTTGGGCATAAAGTCCACTAACCATGAAGGGATCTGATCTGGATATATGTTGAATTTATTAACTGCGTCGTAAGAGTATTCTTCAGTCTGGTAACGATATATTTCGTTTATTTTTTTCAAGTCCAACCAGTAATACTCCCTGATGTGGAAAGATAATGCAACAAGACGATTGTTGAGAGCTCGGATTAGATCAGCTGATCCATCCTCTGGCGTAAGCATCTCACGTGCACAGACCAACGCTGAATAAAATAGTGCCTGAGGAAGTAAAAACAAATATAAATGGCTGCGAATTTAGATTGAAGTTACACAACTGCAAAGGGAAATGCTCACCTGAATCTCTAGTGGATGACCATGGATTCCCATTCGACGGTCTATCATGCAGGACCCATCAGTGACTAATAGAGTAGGGAACATATCGAAACCATCAGCAAGACAGAGCTTTAAGATCATCTTGATTCCGGTCTGAACATCAACTCTTTCCTGCACTGAAAGGTCACCTGTGCATTTTCCATATGCTCTCAGCAATATAATCCACCACAAGCCTGAGATTCCAACACAAAATGAAAAAAAAGTACAAAAAGTTTGTATATATTCTTTTCACATAGTTATAAGACAGTAAATTCAATATTTAAGCTTTCCTTACCAGAATCAACCGGGGCAACACGTCCAATTGCTGCTTCACCAAAATCAGGATCTAACACCTCCTCCGTCAATGAATCATCACCGTCAAGAGGAACAGTTTTCACCTTGAAACTAGCAGGCATCAATCCTTGACCTGGGCTATGGCAATCCATGGTTTTCTCCCAACTCTGGTCAAGAATAAGCATTGTTTTAACAAAAAACAAAACCAAATAACTTCAACATAACCCTCATTTTTGGAAAGGAAAAAACACATCACTCAATATGCAGGTTAAAATCATTTGTCCTTAAAAGCACAAAAACATTCGATGCTCGGTATCTACTAATCATAGTGAGAAGATTTTTGTTTACAAAATCATTCAACTAAGTAGCAATACTCTGCCTTTAGAACTCAGTTGAAAAATAGACAAAGAAAGATCGAATCACCTGTAACTGGAGGGTGTAAAGGATGAAATTCCGAACAATATCATACTCTCCTTTCAGAAGAAAGGCAATCCCCGAGGGTATGAAATCACGAATGAAGACCTGATCATAATTCAGGACACTGGTAGAGTTCGGGTCATTAGCAGCAATGGTTCCAATAGGACTGCCACAATAGTAAACAATGGACTGCCTCAATAGATCCCAAGCTTCATCCTCGATAGATTTTGGTCCACCTGATTGTACGTTACCATTAGATGAAAGACTTCCATTTACAGGTAGAGGCATCTCGTCCAAGTCGCTTTTCAGTTCGCTGCCCAAACCGTCAGAAGGAAGTAACGTGGATCTGAAGTTCTCCTCAACATCATGTTTCTGGCATTTGCATCTCGTGGACACCAATTTTTTACCCTTTAAATCCCAATTTGGACTGTGAAACATAGTTTCTCTCGCCACGTTGTTCGAGACTCGAGAAACTTCATGTGAGTTTGTACATCTTAAGCCTCTTCGTTTTCTACCAGCGGGTTTAAGCGATAGGATTGGAGTCGGGTTAACGAAGAAAGAAGCCAGATAACACGATGGAGATAAAGATGCCAAAGGAACCCGTAGAACTGTTTCTGAAGCCGCCATTTTTATTACCCTATATACTCAGATTACTAGAATAACTGATAAAACTTCAAAATGATACCTGCAAAGAAAAACGAATAAGACGACATGTGAATCCAGCATAAAAGAACAAACTTTACATCTAGAATTAGCTTGCGCATCTTCAAAAATGTAAACTTTTCAATACCCAAATTATCGAATATGATTTATGCGGATAATAAGATTATACAAGGACTTCCAAAATGAGCAGAATATCCCTTAAACATTCATTCTCAAAAATCAAAACTCAACAGAGTTTCAGAACAGCTTGAAAATCATCATCAAAACAAACATGCGAGAGAAATGAATGAATCAGACTCCTAAATTACAGAAAACTTATGAGTTTTTTTCCGTAAATTCTGCTAAAATCCATTGCTCCATCATTAAATCCGATCCAATTGTTTTGTGATTGCAAAAAGGAACCAATAAATATAAATGGGATTAGAGCATCGTTGCAAAGATATAAACGAAAGGGACTTACTTTGATGATACAGATTCAGCTTCCGAGAGAGATGATTTCGAGTCAGAGGAAACTTTTGTCGGGAAAGTGAGGCAAAATTCAATCCTCGAGAGAGAGAGAGAAAAATATCCGCTTAGGTTACACACTGGTCCATTTCTCTTTTAGGAAAAACGAGCTATTTCCCATCAATCATAGTTAACGCGTGTGAAACGACGACGTGTCTAAACTCTAAACACTTTTTTTCTTTTTAAATATTCTTTATTTGTTGTTTCTTTTCTACGGGACCCATTTGAAAACGGACTAGACCCGTTCGCTTTAGAAAGATCCTATGGCGTTTTTTTTTTTGGTGGATTGAATTTGGCTGGATTTGGTTGGTCCCCTGACTCAGCGGAGATGATCTATGACCTTATCCAATCTAACAAATTAGATAATATTCTAAACCGAGTTTAAAAGTTTTAAGTGTTAAATGAAGACACGAAAAACGGCAAGAATAAGTTTGGTCAGTGCTTAACGATTAAAATTCTTAAAATAAAGAATAAAAAAAACAATTGCGGTTGATGTATAACAAGCAGTGCATAAAACTGATTGATATATAGAACGCAGAACTAACGGTGAAAAACATGTATAATTCACAAATAGAAGCAACAATATTAAAAATATCCGTATAACATATCTCTTTAATGCTTGCCATATGTTATTGGTACTATTCCTTAGTTTTTTTTTATTTTTTTTATAAAGTATTTCTCTTAATTAGATAGTTATGTAATTTCTTTGTCATTGTGATCTCTCTCTCTCTCATAATTACTTCATAAATCATAATTATTCATAAATCATACAATCAGGACTCTTAAACTCACACATGCAAGTGAAGCCCTCAGACTTGTTACGTTCACAATAACCATGGATGTCTACACCTCGGTCATGTAGCTTCTCATCGCAAGTTGTTTGGCAATCTTGGTCCAAACACCCTAACTTGAAGAACCCATACGTCACGCTACAATTCATACATTTGTAGGTGCATCGGCAAGATCCTTCCTCATCACAGTAGTCTCCAATAAAACCACCAAATGTTGATGAACACCTCGTTGCGCAGTCGCTGCATGATCCTCCTATTTCGGCCAGACAAAACGCATCTGCTACTCGACTTAATACGGCCCCTATTTTCTATGAAGAAGGGGGAAAAAAAGTTACTCAACAAAACAACAAGTAATATTTCTGGACACCATGGCACTCGTGTTTTTTTTTTTTGATATTTTTTTTTTTAAAATGAAATCGGAGGTAAATACCAGAACATACGAACACGACTAAGAGAGAAGTAGGGAAATTCATCATCGTGACAGGATTTACAGGACTGGACTGTTTTGAACAATTTTATTTGATGTAGCTTAAGTATATAATATAGGAAAATACAATACGACATGTTTTGTTTCGCTGTGGGAAATCAGAAATGGTAAAGGTGTTTTATTTTTCTTTAATCTTCAATAGTATGGTACATTTTTGTCTTGTATATAGACAAATGGCTGAAGCAGTGAATGCTAAACTTACATATGGAAACAGCTTCTAATAGTTTGAGATTTGGACGGTTTAAATTTTGTCACATATTCACTTCAATCGGTGACCCATTTGGAGGATAAAAAAAAAATGAATGAGAGTATAATAATTCTCTCATTTCTGGAAATGATCTACACATTTTGTAGAGAGCTTTGGACTCTTGCTAATGAGTTTGCGTTTGGATGCTATATTTTTTCTTTTTCTATTTTGGTAATTTCCTAGCAAGTTAGTGGTGGAAGAGAGGAAGCTGCGTGGAGTTACACTCTGCGTTTACTTATGAAGTCAACTCCCTGAAAGTCAAGTAAACACGCTTATAGCAATCAGCTAATAATAACTCAGGTCTCTCAAACTGAAAATTTAAACATCTTCAAAGGAATCAAAATCCTTGTTTCTCTATACCTTCTTGAGTTCGACAAACAAGAGAAGATCTTTTGTTAGGATTCATCTATCCTCCCACAAAAATGTCTAAAGGATGTCTAAGTTGTTTCAAGGCCATGTGTTTGAGGAAGAAGCAAAGCAAAAAAGTAGACAAACCCCTGAAAGCAGAGAGATTACCAGAGCCTGTTGAAGAAAAAGAAGATGTAGAAAACGGTGCGGACAAGAAGATGCCCATTAAAGATTCACCGTCGGGACCGGCGTACTTCCGACCAGTATATAGCTCAGATGTAGGCAGCAACGATTTTGTTTATCAATCATATGGTGGCAAAATCCATGGAGGTGTCTCTTCTTCACCAGTGAGAAATGATTTCCACAAAGTGAAGACCTTTGATTTACGAGGAGTCTCAAAAGCCGCGGCCAAGTGAGAAGAGAAGTGGTTAAGAGATGATTTGTTCATCCCATATAAACTTAGATGAGATATTTATACAAGCAATTTGTATAGCTCTCTAGATGATATTATCTTGTTTTGAGCCGATGATCCTACTTTTAATGTATCTGATTACATGTTTACTAATGCGAGCATATCTTTTTGTAAGATCAAGAATTCAAAAGTGTTGAAGAAAGCAGCAAACAATTTAGCACTCAAAGAAGCAGAGAATTTTACGTTTTGAAAGACCGGCATTGATTTACAGAAAAAGTGAAATACCTGATTGATCATCAAAGCCAAAACAATTATATAACATATAGAAACAAAGAAGACCTGCAAAGCCGCAAACATAAGAAGCAACAACGCTGCAAAAGAAGACGCAAATGTCCATGGACTGTCGAAATGCGTGTGAACAAACTCTGCGCAGTGAACATGGAATCCTTTGGATGTATACTCGTTAACTCCTGCAAACACTTTTGCTAGATAACTCTTCTCCAAGTCTAGGGCAACATCTTTACCAATGCCTTTAAAAAACCTAGAAACTTCATCCTCTGTCCCAAAATAGTTCTCGAGGATCCTTCTCTCGCTAAGGAACGCTGCATCGCTCTCTTCGTTTATTAGACAAGCCATGAAAGCAACGTAGCTCGTTATGTGGTTTGATGAACCTGCATATAACTGCTCAAACGCCACACAGTTTAAGAATACTGAGGCGGTAAAATCATCCATGACTATCGGAGGAATATGAAGCACACCGTTGCTAAAACTTATGTCTAAGATTGAGTCTGTGTTCTTCCTCGGTCTGAATTTGATTCCCCGAAGATGAAGCTTCTTTGCTGATAGAACAAATCCAAGGAAGCCATTATCATTCAATGAGGATTCACTGCTAGATTTTTGCGTCTCCTCGGAGCAACAGAGGATTGTGAGATAACTATCTTTGTTGCTTGTTTGAGAAGGAACAGGAACGAAAGTCTTGCGTATCAAATCAAGAAGGTGTTTTGCTTCAAGACTATAATGTTTTTCCCAAAACGCCTCTTGTTTTTGTAAAGAGTAGTCGAAGAATTCAAACGAGACCTCGTTTAAACCGCTACGAGTAACTAGCTTCGATGTTTGGAAGAGAGTTTGAAGAAGAACATAAGGAACCTGGTTTTCCAAAAGGAGAAGATCGGCTCGAATCGAAGGCAAAATCCATGGCATTCTGAAAATGGGATCATCAAGATTAGTGTAAACAACTTTCCCAGAAACTACAAAGAACAACGTGAGGATAAAGCAACCATCAAGAACTATCATCTCAACCAATGTATCAGAGTCTAAGCCAAGATCCTCGGAGTAAGAACCCCTTATAACTCCTTCCAGTTTCGATACAGCTCTGACCAAATCCTGAGGATCAATACCCTTTTCTTCCATTTTAGCAACGAAAAACTTCAAGAACCTGCGTTTGTGCTGCTGGGTCAAATTGAGATGTTCTTTGCCGTGATGGTAAGGACCAATGGAGACAATCTTGGGTTCGTAAGCTTTGAGGTTGATCCGCGCGAGACTCTGAGGGATTCTCGCGATGCAACATGACTCTGAACCGGCTGATTCTCTCAGAAGCTTCGGACCAATAACATCTTCTGAAATTAAGCGATGTATGTCTAGAATTGATGTCGGAATGGGATCATGACTGTTTTCTCCGGTTCTTTGTTGGGTCTGTGGATCCATTAATTCAAACCTTGAAACCCACCTCAGATCATCTTTTGGTTTGGTGGTAAGACTTTAAATATGTTTTTTTTTTTGTGGTGGTTGGATTAGTCTTCCTTCTGGTTACGTGGGGTATATCTTTTGTTTTTTGTGAAACAAAGACCAGTCACGGGGAATCTTTACGAAGGAGTAGTGAAGTTTCGCACTTGCAATATTATGACGCGTCTCCACCTTAGGTCAGCTAAGGAGCAACAGTATTAATTTTGAAAACCTAAGACTTTCTTCTTAGTTTTTGCAAGAGATGACAATTTTTATAAAAAAAATTCGAGTTTTATTAATGTTTTTCGTGGATAATCAAAAACTTCCCATCCTTAGATCAAAAATTTTCATTGTATCTGATATCATAACAGGTTAAGATGTAAAAAAAAAATCAAAATGCTATGGAAAATTCTCTTTCAAAATACTGAATATATACAGGATAATAATATATATAAATTAAGGGCATCAATTATTGAAAAAATGTGTTATAGTGTAGTGGTTTATGGCTCCAAATTCTAACATACTGGTACAAGCTTTGAATACCAAAGGCAGCATTTTGTGATTTCATAACAGGTTATTGATGAACAAGATAACTCTACAACAGCAAAATTTAACTAAATCACGGATTTATTATGGTATGTTTTTAGTTTGCATCCAAAAACATTCGTGTTAGTTAGATTAGTTGGGTTGACTGTTGAGTAAAAAAGGATGGGCGGGAAAATAAGAAGTCAACTCTCCGTTTTACGTTTCCTAGTCAACTCTGAAAAAAGTCAAATAACACGCTTACAATAATAATTTGAAAAAAAGCCAAAAACTCAGTTCTGTAGCCCTCACACTGAAGATATATAAACATATTGAAGAACCATAATCTTTGTCTATGTGAAACTTCGTTTCCACTCGACAAGCAGTGGTCTGTTAGAATTCAAGAAAATGTCTAAAGGATGTTTAAGTTATTTCAACATCATATGTTTCAGGAAGAAGCAGAATAAGAAACAACAGAAACCTGTGAAAGCAGAGGATGTAGTTGAGCCGGTAGCACTAAAAGATGATGAAGAAGAAAGCCCGGAAAAGAAGATGATCATCACAGGAACATTTGGATACATCGAACCTGAATATCTCTCTACTAATGCATTTTCTCAGGGAAAACTTGAGGAAGGTGATTCTGCTTCACCGTTGAAAAATGATTTCAACAAAGTGAAAACTTTTGATTTACGAGGAGGGACAAAAACAAAGGAGAAGTGAGGACGGGGATGAGACTTGAGATGTGTAATATTCACCATGTTCAACATATTTCAGGGTCTGCATTACTTTCTTATTCGATAATATAATCGTGTCTTATTAGCCACTGATCCTTACTTTTTAATGTACCTGATTACATGTAATGAAATAAGTGGGAATAGTATGTTTTATGAATTAAAAGGGTTTAGAATGTCTGCGTTTATCACGTCAACCTCTGTTCCAAAATAGTTATCAAGAATCCTTCTTTCGCTAAGTACACTGCATCACTCTCTTTGTTTATAAGACAAGCCATGAAAACTAGGCACGCAGTAAGCAGCGCGGAAGAGCCACTGGACGAAGAGGAACCTTTTCTAAGTACAGTAACAGCCTCGTGTGAATATGACTATTCCTATGGCGAAATGGACGTTTCAGATGAAATGGCGGCTGATTCTGCCTCTACACTAAAAACTGAATTCTACGCAGGAGACGAGTTTGAATTGGGGGGACAAAAGGATAGCGATTCAGATTAGAATTTATGTCAACTGATCATTAGTTTTCTACCAATATTTTAGTCTCTTTTTTTCAGTTTTTCGTTTTCACATTTTTGATTTTTCTTTCTTTTGTCGCCAATTGCTTTAGGTGGCGAGTTGGGGCCTTAAGTTTCCTAAGCATAGAAGAAACCCTTAAATTTTCTCTCAAAATGGGCCAAAGCTTAACGAATGGGCCTGCGCAACACATTTTAACTGGGATCCCCATTTAAATACGTATGCGTGGGTTTTTTTGTCATGTACTTTAAAAAATACTAAATTTTAACCTCGTGCGTCTGCACGGGAATGTTTTATTTTTTTATTTCTAATATAAGTTGCATTTATCTTTTTTGTTTAGATATAATTTTTTTTTGTTGTTTATTTTTTTAAATCGAAAAAATGTTATCATATTTTAATTTTAAACAGTAAAATTTGTATATTAGTAGAATAAGAGTATACGTTAATTAAGTATATATTGATTTAATGTTAATTATAAACTTTGTTATTATGTGAATTTAGATTTACACATAAACAATCTATATATCTATGAATTTGCTAATCCATCCGTTTAGTTATCTTAAATCATTTTTAATATCTTACATTTTTTGACAAACTAACCCGTATAAAACTATAATTATAATTGTATAACCCTATAAATATTTACTAATATGGAATATTTGGACCAATTAATTATGAAAAAATATAATAAGATATTTATTTACTATTTGTGCTATTAAAAAATGTATATATATATATAAACGGGCTAACCTGTTATTTTAATTGTCTCAAATCATATATATATATATATATATATAACTCTAATCAGCTCGATCATATTATTGTATAATATAAATATTTATTAAATTCAAATATTTGATATTTTAGACCGATTGTTTATGATAAAATACGATAAAATATTTATTTACTATGCATTTTTATAAAAATATTATTTAAATTTTAAATTTTAAATTAAATCTTTCCTGTATTTAAGAAATTTTAAAGTATTAAAATTGTTATCTAAATTTTCATAATAAAATTTAATTATAACTTTTTTTGAATTTTTTGAATTTAAATTAAATTGAATGCAAATTTTTGTAACTAAATTTAATTAAATTTCTAATAATTTGAAATTTAAATTAAAGATGACCTAGATTTTAAGAAATCTAAAAATATTTAAATTAATAACTAATTTTCGGAAATTAAATATAAAAATAAAATAAAATACTATAAAAAAAATTTGGGAGTGTTTGGATGCAAGCACTAAATGTGCTTCTGTTTTAATAGAATAGATTTATATATCAAATCATCTTAATATCTTACATGTTTTAATAAATTAACTCATGGACCTTAAATATATATATATATAACTCTAATCAGCTCGATCATATTATTGTATAATATAAATATTTATTAATCTCAAATATTTGATATTTTAGACCGATTGTTTATGATAAAATACGATAAAATATTTATTTACGATGCATTTTTATAAAAATATTATTTAAATATTAAATTTTAAATTAAATATTTCCTGTATTTAAGAAATTCTAAAGTATTAAAATTATTATCTAAATTTTCGTAATAAAATTTAATTATAACTTTTTTTGAATTTTTTGAATTTAAATTAAATTGAATGCAAATTTTTGTAACTAAATTTAATTAAATGTCTAATAATTTGAAATTTAAATTAAAGATGACCTAGATTTTAGGAAATCTAAAAATATTTAAATTAATAACTAATTTTTGGAAATTAAATATAAAAATAAAATAAAATATTATAAAAAAAACTTTAGGAGTGTTTGGATGCAAGCACTAAATATGCTTCTGTTTTAATAGAATAGATTTATATTTATTGAATTTGATATAGTATGTTATCCGTAACATATTGATGGGAACATGATAAAGTTTATTTCATTCGGTAAAGAGAATATTACGAATTCACGAATTATGTGACCGACAAACCTAGTAGACAAAGCAATCAATGTTTTTTGCTTATTTTGTATAAAATTTTGCTTGATGTAATATTGCTTTTTTTTTAACAAGAGGATGTAATATTGTTATTGTGCAAAATCTGTAGGAGACTGTTGTGTAAAATTTTGATTTAATAAAGGTTTTCTACGTCAAAATGTAGGAGATTGTTGTGCTTCTTCCAGCGGCTTAGCTCGAAAAATTCATTGCTATCTAGCGCTGGAATCTTCTTTTTTAACCATAAAATGTCAAATGGTATATATAGTCGAACTTCTTTAATTTTTCCTTTAGGCTAAAGAAGATATTTAATTAATTAGAAACCTGGAACAGATGTTTCAGAGGCCAAAAGTGCCAGTCTGGCTAATTGGCTATATATGGATCAGCCAGAGAGTTGTGTAGACGTTGGACAAAACTAGGAAATGGTAGTAAAAGTAGCTGCCAATCGTATGGTTATGTTATATGCGTCATATAATAATCTATATAATAAAGGTTTATGATAAGAAAAATCAGACAAATGGCGGGTCAGAAGCCTTCGTCTGGTGCCTGCAGTTCATATTGAGAGATGAGAGCTTTTCGTTTCCGAGTTGGTTGGATTTTCAGATTTCAGTAGGGCACTCTTGTTTAGCAGCGCTTGGTTTAATCTCTGGTTCTTGTCTGCTATTTTTTAATTATTTTCCTTGGTTATGCTGTTTAGCTTAGTAGTTATGGTTTGTTTCATTCCATTCTAGTTCTTTGTATTTTTCCTTTTCATGTGTATCTCCGTAATTCTGTAAAAATTCATTAAAGAGTATAATATTTAGCAATGATATACGGTATACCAAACAAAATAAATAATAAAAAATAATACAAACAAACACGAACTGCGACATGTGCTCCATCTCGAAAGTAGCTCGCTAATCAATGGTTAGATAAAAACAAAAAACAGTGGTTTAAAAACAAAAAAACAGTAGTTGACTTTACCATGAATCCCTGATCTATCGTTTTTTTTTTATATATACGTTGAAATTTATTAGTCTCATTTTTCAGTCTTTTACCCTACAATTTAACGATGTCTGGTTGTTTTCAAATAAACTATTTAGTTGCATTTTATGTTTGTACAACGGGTAGAATGGACTATACTCAATAAGATCCTCTTTTCTTATAATGGATAGCAATCAGCTTTACTTTATTATTTATTTTCATTTTTCAGCTATAAACATGTTGATATTTTTTTTTCTTTTTTGTTAAAGAGCTATAAACATGTTGATTTAATTGCTATCCATTCAGCTGCAGACAAACAATTATAAACGATAGATTAAAAGCGAGTTGAACCCTTCACGGAGAAGTTTAGTTCCACTAACACAATTGGATATATAATTTATTAAATATGAAAAGAGTTCCAGTTTTTTTAATTCATAACATATTTTATAAAATGCGTAAGACAACTGGCATATAACATATATTATAGACAACTGGTATATAAATTATATAATTATATATGTAGCAGTAGCCAACTAATGCCCTAAGATAAGGGCATGGAAAACGTCGTTAGGCTACGCACAACATCAACGTCATCAACAAATGACATCAGCTCACTGAAGTTCATCATTTCAATACCACGTGGGTATAGAGGTGAGAGAATACAAAAAGAAAGAAAAGAATTATACTATTGAAGCTCATCACACTTATTTATTTATATATTACTTCCATGGATCAAGATATTTTCGGTCGAACTAATGACCTTTTGATATTTTATATTATTCATAGTTCGATACATCCTAATTCAAATTATCAATTAGAGAGATAAGTTTATGAAATATATCATATTACAGAGATAAGTTTACACCTGTCATTGCAATGACAGGTGTAATATATATGCATGTTTTATGTGTGTAAAATTTCATAATACGATGCTTTTATAATAAAATAAAAAAAGAGAAAATATAACTAGTGTACTTATTCACTAAAATTCTACGCGCTCATAAATACAATTTTTATGGTTGTCAACCATATAGTTTTCTAGTGTCAGCATATTATAATTAGTTTTCTTATAATTAATCTCTTGCAATACAAACAAGGTCGCCGGCAAATATGAAAAAACTGGTTGGGGTATGACGACAAGTGGGCTGAGACTGCTTTGATCATCCATCTTTTTGTCCTAATTTTTATTAGTATTATTATTATTACTCGTAGAGTTAAATAGACATGCTTTCAAATAGTCATGTTCAGTTCAGGCCAAAAAGTTAAATAATAGCGACTAAAAATGTTTCAATATCGAAAATTCTATAATAATACACCAACTGAAATTGATTTATCAGTTTATCTAGTCTAACCTTCTTTTGCAAATGTGAAAAAGCAAGCAACAGAATAAATGGAGGATCTAAAGAGGCATCATTCCATATATTGAAGAAAAAGGATGATGACATGCTCAAGTTCCTTTTGATCAAGCAAGGCAACCAGATAAAAAAATATATATTCGTTTGTACATAAGGATTTTAGTGTAGCAGAAATTACATTTTTTAAAACATAGTATATATATTCTTGTCATTAAAAAAATCCTTAAAAATAGTCTTAGCAGAAAAATCTATTGTAATCCAAAGTCAAATTGATCATAACAATCCCACGAATCAAAGTTGTCCAATAACAAATCCGAATCATAGAAGACACTTTCAGTGCCAGATGACGACGGCAGAGGATAAGAACTTGATGGTGATATCGATGATTCCATCACATATTGACAATCTTGACCATCACCGGTTATCTCACGGTACGGTTCCATGGTTTTCTCTTTGATGATATCTTCTTCATGCTTAACCGATGAGGAGAACCCGCTGGAGTGGCTTTCCTTCTCCTGATCAAGATCTTTCCCGAATTGGATCATCCGGCCACTTTTCAAATCATCGACCGGATCTTGAACGGCAGTAAAAATGGGATCTTGTTTATGATTGATTTTGCAAGTGTGTTGGCCGATGTAAGTGGTTCGGTAAACCGGAGGGTTGTCTTTGATCTTCTGTTCATGCTTTCTTGCTCTGCAGTTATGATCTATGTTGTATGAACATCTATAGTAGCTCCTGTATCAACATCAATGCATACACCAATATTAGCATTATTGATTGGAACAAAAACAATTAAATTTAATTATATCCTATTAGCTAGACTATATTAATTATACCTTTGGTGATCAGATTTTTTTATAGTTTTTTGGCCGTATTTCCTCCAAAGAAACCCGTCGTAATAGATCGGATCCGGTGAATCGTCCCTCCAGTTCTCACTTGAATTTGTACTTTGAATCTTTCTGCAAATATGGTGGTATCAAATATTAGCATATAAAAATCAACACATATATATCCCACTCTTTTGCTAGTCACATATTTATGGGAGGACATTGCCTTTATATGAAAGAGATATTTGATATATTGTTTTATTTGAAGTTAAATAAGAAAAAAAGCAAGAAAAAAAATTCGAGGGCTTATAACTTAATGCTAAATATCAATACCTTTTCTTGGAGGGGCTTCTGATCTGGGGAAGGGGAGGAGTATTAACCATTTCCCTCCGAAACAGAGCACATATCAAACCAGAGTACAAAACGATGTCGCAGAAGCTTCATCAAGTGAGAAGACAATGGATATGGGCCAACAAACGTTAAAGCCCAATCAGAGTTATAATCTGCAGAAGCCCAGAACTCTGCAACGGTCTTCTCTCCACCTGCAACAAGACAAAAACAGAACTGATTCAGAGGTGTCTGCAAACAAGCTGGCAAGAGAACGTACAACTGAAATTCAAAACCGATTTCATGCTTTAGCTATGTTAATCGATGCTTGACATCTGGCACTAGGGTTTAGAGCTCTCAAGAAAGTGTCTTTGTATAAATAGCAAGCTCTCATTGTAGCCATCTTTAAGCAATGAAAAAGAAATGAATTTTTAAGCTTCAAAATACTACAAAATTAAAATCCTTTCATGGTATCAGAGCCACAGGGGTCCATGGAGTTCTCCATGGATCTTCCTCTTCCTACTCTCAGTATCACGACATGTGTTACTGTCACTCTTACTGACCGCAACTATATCTTGTGGAAATCTCAGATTGAAAGTTTTCTGCTTGGACAAGGTCTTCTTGGCTTTGTTCAAGGCACAGTCGTTCAACCATCAGCAACAGTCACAACTGCAGCAGCTAACAACACCACTGTTACCACTCCAAACCCTGCTTATTCTCGGTGGCTTCAGTATGACCACATCGTTCAGAGTTGGCTCCGTGGTTCTTTCTCTGAAGATATTCTGAGTCTGGTGGTAAACTGTGCCACTGCATCTGAGATCTGGCTCACTCTAGCAAGTCACTATAACCGCGTCTCATCCTCACGACTTTTTGAGCTTCAACGCAAGCTTCAAACCGCATCTAAACTTGGCAAAACGATGTCTGACTATCTCAAGGAGATTAAGTCCATCTGTGACCAGTTGTCTTCTATTGGAAGCCCTGTTACAGACAAAATGAAGATCTTTGCTGCTTTACATGGTCTAGGGCGTGACTATGAACCGATTACAACGAGTGTTGAGGGATCTATGGATCGTGACCCTCTTCCCACTTTTGATGATGTTACACACCGTCTAATAGCCTTTGATGATCGCCTGCAAAGCTATTCCACATCCTCTGAAGTTACTCCACATCTGGCCTTTAACACTCAACAAGGCTCACAAAACTCTTACTCTTACAGAGGTGGTAGAGGTCAGAGTGGAAGAGGTTTTCGAGGAGGTCGTGGTCGTGGAAACTTCTCCACTCGAGGTCGCGGTTTTCATCAACAGAACTCCTCTTACACCGGGTCAAATGATGTCTCAGACAGGCCAACCTGTCAGATCTGTGGTCGCCGTGGTCATGCTGCTCTAAACTGTTGGCACAGGTTCGATAACTCCTATCAGCTTGATGGTACTCCTTCTGCAATGGCTGCTCTCCGTATCACTGATGTTTCAGATAATCAAGGTCATGAGTGGTTCCCAGACACAGGAGCCAGTGCTCACATCACCAACTCAGCTCAGCATCTGCAAAATACTCATCCTTATACTGGCTCTGATGCTGTAATGGTTGCAGATGGAAACTTTCTGCCTATCACACACACTGGTTCCACAGTTATTGCTTCTTCCTCAGGTACACTTCCTTTACACGATGTATTGGTTTGTCCTGATGTTGCCAAATCTTTGCTTTCTGTGTCTAAGATTACAAAAGCTTATCCTTGTTCTTTTGAGTTTGATTGTGATGGGGTTGTTGTTAAGGACAAGGTCACAAAGAAGCTCATAATGTTGGGCAAAAACAGTGAAGGGTTATATGTTTTGAAGGATGAATCAGGCTCCAAACCGCAGGCTTTCTATTCTTCAAGACAGCAATCTACTAGTGAGGCAGTTTGGCATCGGAGACTGGGACATCCAAACTCTCAAGTTATTCATCAACTTGCTTCATCTAAGTCTATCTTCATAAATAAAAGGACTAGTGTAATGTGTGAGTCATGTCGACTTAGCAAAAGCACTAAGCTTTCTTTCTCTGCTTCCGATTATGTAGCTACAAAGCCCCTTCAAAGAATTCATTGTGATCTTTGGGGGCCTTCTCCAGTGTTATCAGTTCAAGGATTCCGATATTATGTAATATTTGTTGATCATTGGTCTCGGTTTTGTTGGTTTTATCCATTGAAGCTCAAGTCAGACTTCTATACTGTGTTTCTAGCCTTTCAGAAACTAGTTGAAAACCAATATAATGCAAAGATTGGATCTTTTCAGTGTGATGGAGGTGGTGAGTTCACTAGCAACAAATTTGTGACTCACCTCACTCAATGTGGCATAAAACAGATGATCTCATGCCCACATACGCCCCAACAAAATGGTTTAGCAGAGAGAAAGCATCGCCACTTGGTTGAATTGGGTTTAGCGATGATGTTTGAAAGCCATTTACCTCAAAAGTATTGGGTAGAGGCCTTCTATACTGCAAACTTCCTGATTAATCTCCTTCCTACATCAACTTTGGAGTCTTCAAAGTCTCCATATCAGACTCTAAATGGTAACCTTCCTGACTACACATCTCTGCGAACCTTTGGCTCAACTTGTTATCCTACACTTCGTGATTATGGAAAAACAAAGTTTGATCCTCGTTCATTAAAGTGTGTATTCCTTGGCTACAATGATAAGTACAAAGGATATCGGTGCTTATATCCCCCAACAGGAAGAGTATACATCAGTAGACATGTTCTTTTTGATGAAGAAACATTTCCATTTCAAACTGATTATACCTCTCATCACTCATCTTCCAATACAGTTCTATATGATGCCTGGTTGAAAGGTGAATCGCAGAAGCTTCAGTCTACACCTCCGGTTTCACGTCCGATATTCATTCCTGCAACAGCAACGGACTTACCTACTATTGTTTCATCATTAGTGTCTGGATCGAGTTCTTCCCAACAGTCTTCGCAAGGAGTGACTACTGCAGGTGTGAGGGAGTATTCTGAGCGTACGACATGCTTAGATCATGATTCTATTGGCGACAGTGCTTCCTCCTCACCAAGCAGGCCAGTCACTCCTCTCTCAGCTTCTCCATCAGTCTCATCATCACCCATGGAAGACTCTGTCCAAAGTTCACTTGATCAACCTCCAATATTACCGGAGGAACTTGTTTCATCCGCCACATCTATTCATCAACATCCAATGACTACTCGGTCTCGAGCTGGAATCACAAAACCAAACCCACGATATGTCTTATTTACTCAGAAAGTCTCTTACCCCGAGCCAAAAACAGTTACATCAGCGTTGAAAGATCCCGGATGGACCTCTGCAATGGAAGAGGAATATGACAACTGCAAAGTGACTAATACTTGGTCTCTTGTTCCTTACACCCCTGATATGAATGTTCTGGGTAGTAAATGGGTCTTCCGAACCAAGCTAAATGCAGATGGAAGTCTCAACAAGCTTAAAGCCAGGTTAGTTGCACAAGGCTTTAATCAAGAGGAAGGAATCGATTATCTAGAGACCTACAGTCCAGTTGTTAGAACAGCAACAGTGAGATCAGTGCTTCATACTGCCACAACAATGCAATGGGAAATCAAGCAGATGGATGTACAAAACGCCTTTCTCCATGGTGATCTCACTGAAACTGTATACATGAAACAACCAGCTGGCTTTGTGGATAAATCTAGACCAGATCATGTCTGTTTACTTCATAAAGCTTTGTACGGCCTTAAGCAGGCTCCAAGAGCCTGGTTCGACAAGTTCAGCAACTACTTATTGGAGTTTGGTTTTATATGCAGCATTCGGGATCCATCTCTCTTTGTGTACTCTCACAATGGAAACATCATCCTGCTGTTGTTATATGTAGATGACATGATCATCACAGGAAATAACTCAGAGACTTTGCAGAAACTCTTTCATGATCTAAATCAACACTTTCGAATGAAAGATCTTGGTCAAATGCATTACTTCCTTGGGATTCAGGCGCACTTTTATGCAGAGGGGCTCTTTCTTTCTCAACAAAAATATGCAGAAGACTTATTAGCTCTCTCAGGGTTCTCAGACTGCTCTGCAATGCCAACACCACTACCACTTCAACCTCACAAAGTGCCTCATCAAACTGAACCTTTTGAAAATCCGACTTACTTCAGAAGTTTGGCTGGTAAGCTGCAATATCTCACACTTACTCGACCTGATATCCAATATGCTGTTAATTTTGTCTGTCAGAAGATGCATGCTCCTACAGTCTCGGATTTTCAGTTGTTAAAACGGATTCTTCGATACATCAAAGGCACCTTGACGATGGGTATTTCATTTCACAAGGATTCAGATTTTACAATCCGTGCCTTCAGTGATAGTGATTTTGCTGGTTGTCCAACCACAAGAAGGTCAACTGGTGGATTTTGCACTTTCCTTGGCAAAAATCTTATCTCATGGGCATCGCAGAAGCAGCAAACGGTTGCAAAAAGCTCTACTGAAGCAGAATACCGAGCCTTATCTGAAACTGCTTCTGAACTTACATGGCTTGGTTTTCTAATGAAGGATCTTGGAATTCCAATTCATCAAACACCTGAGTTGTACTGTGACAACTTGTCAGCCGTCTACTTGACAGTAAATCCAGCTTATCACAAGAGAACTAAGCATTTTGAGACCCATCATCATTATGTGCGTGAGCGAGTTGCACTTGGTACTTTGTTGGTCAAACACATTCCCTCTCATCTACAAGTTGCGGATATTTTCACTAAATCCCTACCAGAGAAAGTTTTCACTGATCTCCGAAGCAAACTAGGCGTCAGTGTTCCACCTACGCCGAGTTTGAGAGGGGCTATTAACCATTTCCCTCCGAAACAGAGCACATGTCAAACCAGAGTACAAAACGATGTCGCAGAAGCTTCATCAAGTGAGAAGACAATGGATATGGGCCAACAAACGTTAAAGCCCAATCAGAGTTATAATCTGCAGAAGCCCAGAACTCTGCAACGGTCTTCTCTCCACCTGCAACAAGACAAAAACAGAACTGATTCAGAGGTGTCTGCAAACAAGCTGGCAAGAGAACGTACAACTGAAATTCAAAACCGATTTCATGCTTTAGCTATGTTAATCGATGCTTGACATCTGGCACTAGGGTTTAGAGCTCTCAAGAAAGTGTCTTTGTATAAATAGCAAGCTCTCATTGTAGCCATCTTTAAGCAATGAAAAAGAAATGAATTTTTAAGCTTCAAAATACTACAAAATTAAAATCCTTTCAGAAGAATCCCTTGAAGATAGATCAGAAGATTGATCTTCCTCTGATTTTGGTTGATCAGATAAGACTGAGATGGCATTGGAAAAACATTGGACAATCGATTTAGCAAGATCATAACTTGAAACTGATCCGTAGTCAGCCATTGGATCGTCGAGCCGCAACTTCAACCGCATGGCGCATCTATGGCCATAAAGGATTTCTTGCACCGCCTTTTCGTGGGGGGAGTTCATTTTCTATTATAGTAGACTGAGCTTTGTATGTGTTTCTTGGCCGTTTTCTTTCTCTCGAGTCTTTCAATTTTGCACGGATAGGGATATATAGGGGCAAGTGGTACACACACAATACCACATGTGGGAATCTCAAATATTTAAACCATAGACTCGATAAGAAGGTATTAGGTAATTCCAACTTGATATTTATTTAACGGGAAGTAATACTATTTACCAACAAAGTAACAAACAAACAAAATGTATGCCATACTCCCTCCGTTTCATAATAAGTGTCAATCTGATACATTTCACACAGATTAAGAAATTAATAAAATATACAAATATACTTCTAATTAATATACTTTTATAAAATTTAATTACAAAGATTATTATCTTTAAATGAAGGATAAAACAGGAAATAAGAGTAAAAAATTACATTGAAAATGCAAAATAACACTCTTTTTACAACAAAAAATAAAACTTATTATAAAACGGAGAGAGTATAAACAATTCGACTCCATACCAATTATAGACCAAGTGTTGGGTCTCCTAATCAAGATATATGTTTATATTTATATATATACACTAGGTTGTAGTTTAGTAAGAATTATATGATTTAGGACATGTGCTCGGTTCTCTCCACCAAATGGAGTAGCTAAATAAAAGATAAATAGAAAGCAAAATTAGGTGTTGACTTTAACATATGATTTGTCATGTACTCATCCATAGATAACAGAGTTTGTTTTACATGCTTGCATCCTTTTGATTACACTAGTCTACGCGTTCACTCGTTGTCCAAATTAAAAGGAAATATCTACGCGGTTCACTTCACTAATTACAGAAATTGTTTGGCTAATGTCTATTAGAATACTTAAGATTTTATACCATATCCAAAAGACAGGAGGAGTCTAACAGAAAAATGTGTTTCACAAAACTTAAAATAGGTTGGAAAAATGTGGATTTTTTTCCAGAGTTGTGGTTTTGAGATGTTTTATTATACAATAACAATTATCAAGTTGAAATAATAAATTTGTTAAAATTTAACCAGTTATAGGGTATAATAAGATTACTTGTAAATAAGAATGTTGATGATTTTTAAGCATACAGTAGGAAATATGAACAAATAAAATGTATTTTAAAAGTTAAATACACAAATATTCAATTAATAGTCCAGTACTAGTCCTTTTGATAGAATATTGGTGTTTTTATCCCAAAAAAGTCATGTGTAACTTTTGGCTAAGTGAGAAAAAAAGCCCTAACCGATAAGAAAAAAAAAATACACCAAACATAAATTAGCTGATTCGGTTTTGATTTAGTTAAATCTTGAAATCATATAGCTAACATTTTTAAAAGGTTTTGGTTTTAATTTGGTTCCGTCTAAAAACCATAAGATCGAACAGGTTTTTTCTGGTTTTCAGATACAGTAAAATAGGAACGTCTTTTTTATATACTTAACAATAGCAGTATTTCTTTAATTTCAAATTTAAAGTCCAAAATGTCTATTTGTGAAGTCTTTTAAACCATAGACTCAATTTTTTTTTTTTTTGTGAAATCTTTTAAACCATAGACTCGATTTTTTTCTAGTTTATAAACTCAAATTTTTGTTTCCGTGAAATCATCTTATCGATCGTCTTTTGCTTGTTTTTGTTACTGGATAAAATAAATTGAAACCAAACCAAACTGAAGTGCATGTAAAACTTCACATAGTTTCAATTTTTTTCTATAAAGAAAATATAAATCGACAACCAAAAGACCAAACCAAGCTAAACCGTAAATCGACGTATCGATCTCTTCCTTTTTCTAGTTTCTACCATCAAAAATATTTATGTATTTTCACACTATGCATCAAAAATTAACCTATCAAAACAGAGTAATTTTGGCTACATATTCTCAACAAGCCCTTCATTAAATTAAAATTGAAATAATTGCGAAATAGTTGGCAAGTGCGCCGACGGAAACAACGGCGTTAATTCCGTTAGACATCCGACCTCCGCAGCACATGACAGCTTTGTCGAAGTTGCTGACTTCAGCTGAATGACGTCATAAATTAAAGGGCATTGTAGATATTTTACACTAACGACAAGTAGTCAACTCTGATGGGATTCATCCTTTGGCTAGGATATACTTTTTTTTTGTTTTAATTAATAAACTACTGATTTTTGTTTTTTTGTGGGCTTATGGTCGTTATAATCCAACCGTGACATGTTGGGGGAAAAAATAACCACAATGTTTTAGAATGATTACTTTTTTTAATTCGTCAATTACAATGAAAATGATAATTTTACAAGAAACTCTTGAACGTTTAGGCATCTTGAAGACTTGAACTGTACGTATTGAAAGAATTAAAAATTTCTTCTGCGGGTGAATAATGGTAATTGATTTATCCATATAAGAATAATAAAGGGAAATATTCTAAACTTTCTTTAGCATGATGTGACTTTCTGATCTGTGAAACTCGTTGCCCACATGTATTTTGTACTTATGACTTGCTTACTAGATCTCGGTTAGCTATTTTAATGTTTTTGCTAAATTTTATCCCAGATTTTATTTGAATTTGTTTTGGTATTACTATATTGAGAGGGGTCACGGATGGTACAAATCAAGCAAAGCTTTGGGTCAAGTCATATTATTTTATGTTGCCAACGTGTGTGAATTTGAATGTGCATATGAACATGACATCCATGAAAATTTTTGAAAACATTTAGTTTAATAATTTATTTACTAGATATTTTAAAACCAAGTCGTTGAGACGGCCAAAAAAAAAGGTTGGATTTTAGCTTCCAGTTTCGTACATGCCTTCCTTGCCTTCTTTCGACGACCAAGTTTCCGCAATAATTTAATATCATTAATCCCACGGAACTCCAAAACAAATTCTTAAATTGATCTCTTTCAAAATAATAATAATAACATTCCAAATTCTATCTTGTGGATTTAAACTCTAGATACTTAAAATCTGGATTCGTGCTTTTAGCTTTATCAACTGAAATATCTCTGACGTTCTGATTATTCATAATCATATTTAGAAGAAAACACTGATTTTTTTTTTTTTGGTAAACATGTTAAAATTATATTACCAATTTTCGATTTTTTTACAGAAGTTACAGAGATTACAAAGAAATCAGAAAGACCAAAAATAAAAAACTACTAACAAATCCGACAAATACAGCAAACAACAACGAAATCATAAGAAAATGGATTACGGAATTAAAAATAAAAACCAAAACAAAACCAGACGAGAAAGCATAAGAAAACACTGATCTTGCTCGCTCGCAATCTAACATTGACCTAGACATGTTTAAGGTTATACCGATGCTAAACAGTGGATATATTAAAACTATCTGCTTTAGATATTAAAACTATCTAAAGAAATCCAATCCAACTTCTACAATGATATTTCTGAAGTAACACATAATTGCATGCAGAAAAACCAAGCTTTGCTTTATGACGACGTTCTAGAAAGACAAAAAAAGATAGCCACAATTTTGAGGCAGCATATACAGTTAATTTTTCTTTTCTTTAACTCTGTTTTTTTTTAGCTAAAGACCTATATGGATCTAACTATACCAAAACGATGGGGAAAATAATTAACTGTAACGCTATCATTTTATAGTAGACAAAAACATTTTTAATACTAGATTTTTTTTTTTTTGTAATCATCCGAGTAGGATTTTAGATAGTTAAATTTGGTAAATGAAACTCGCATCCACTGAGAGCACATAACTGAGAAAAACTAGTGGACTATAGTTTCCTTAATTAAACCATCATAAATGTGTTGCCTCGATAGATTTCCGAGTCAAAACAGGCTTGTAGAAGAATCTCATGTTCGAGTTACCTTCTTTCAACCATCAGATCCTGGATTTAGTTTGCATCGTTCGTAGAGAAAGATTATTTAAAACTATTAGTTTGGGAAGATATTAAAAAACTACTAGCTTGGTAAGATAGAAAATAAACTTACTTAGTGTATATAGTTATGTATATATATATATATATAATATTGTTTTAAAAGTTTCAAAGTATAAGTTAGAATCCAGATTTGTTATATAAAACAAAACAAAAATTAAACTAATCAAGTTTAACTAATTATATAATATAGAAATTGTTCGGGTGGAATTTTGTGTTTCAGATGTATAAGCAAGAATTCACATTTATGTTATGTATTTCAGTATTTGCCACCCGCAGTTGTAGCCTGTAGGGGAAGTGTGGATATCCTCTTTTAGCGAGGTGCCATTATTTGTTAATCAAATAGTAATCCCCTATATAAACATAACAGAAACAGAGAATCGATACTATTTGTTATCAATAAACAGTCAATATACCTTTTAGCCTATCATATATAGCATATAAATACTTGATATACAGATATATAGGATATATATATATATATATATATATTGTATCATGTTAATTGATATAACTGTAGGCATGTCCATCATTCTTTAATATGCTCAAGGCTTCATAACGGTGGTAAGGGAGTATATTCATCGGTGAAATAGTGAAAAGAAAAAAAGACTGTTTCACAAGAAAACTATTCCTCTCTGTTTTCACAACTTCATTTATCAATCATGCCATCAAGGCAAAGACCTCACAAAAAAAAAATTATAAATGCAAAATCTGGGATTACCTACTTAGTTCTTAAAACAAGGGAGCAAAGCTGCAAAACGGTGGGCCGGAAAGGATATGTGTCAAATTACACAATGGATATAAGAAAAGCCCACAAAAGATAGAAGCCTCAACCAAAAGCAAACCCTCTTAATAACATGCTGTAAGTAATTGAAAAAGCCTTATGTGTTTACACCGTTGTTCTACTAAACGATAGCTAGCAATATATGTGGTCGTTTAGACGACGCTTAGACGATATTCTATAAACCATTGTGATTAGCTATTACTTAGATGTTGGAACTATGTGATTTTTTATTATAGAAGGAGTTAAGTAGTCGTAAACGGTGTTAGACGGTTTTAGTAACCGTTAATAAACTTTTATCTGATGATCCGTGTTTTTGACCGATGATATAAAAAAAAAAATCATGGAAGCAATATGTGTTATTATCTCAAGTATAACATAGTTTGTCACATAGATAAACCGTAAAAGAAAAAAAACATAGTGTGCACGTACGTAAACTAAAAAGTTTAGCACATAATGAACAGTTAGCATGGTTTAAAAATACAAAGAGATCTTAGCCGGGTGAAGATTGAAGAAAAAGACTTTTTGAAAGGTTAAAATAAGAAATATTCAGCGGTCACCTAAGCACTACTCATCACTCATCAGGAAAAACATGTACATATCTCACTTAAGCATATACCAATATTATTGAGAGGAAAATAATTAACTAAAACTTCCATTTGAAATCCTCCTCCATAGTTGTCCAAATATTTTTTTTTTTAAAGGAAAACTTCCTCCATATTTTGTTTCTCTTAAAATAGTACCAATAATGTTAGGCAAGGCCGAAATGATGTCATATTCAGTGGGAATTGATTTTAGGAGCATGGCCACATGCTCTTTTAATCATATCTTTATGAAGGAAATAATGAAGAAAATACAATTGATGGGTCCGAGGTTCATGTGACTTGATGAGAAGAAGAAGTGAAAAAGCGTAAGAAAGATTATAGCAAAATGGTATGGCTGAATTAAACTTTATTGTTAAAGGGGTTCACAAAAGACATTGAGCTGACACAAATCCATGCACCATGTTTCTCTTTTCATTGGATTTTCGATTTCCCTCAGATCTTGTTCCCAAAAAAGAAAAGAACTTTGTTGTTTTTAATTAGGGTTAAGTGATTATGATTTATGATATTCAAATCCAAGTTCAAATTGGAGAAATTACCAAAGCCAACCGAATCCGCTTTGGTATGATTTTGCCTTTTGGTTTGTTTTTTTTGTTTTGCATCAATGTCCATTTCTGTTCAATTCAGACTGAAGTAACTGAAAAGCCCTTTAATCCAAAATGAAATATATTTTTGTTTAATCTATCCGGTTTAATATGGTATGTTTTCTTAAGAATATTAGTTATATTTGTCCCGTAAGAAACTTACAGCGAATATCCAACTCGAGTTGCCTATGGATTAAACTCCTCCATGGCATTTAGTTATGTTTTATGGTCGAGGAAATTGTTAACTAACCCCAAAATCGAACACGCGCACTCTTTAATTTGATATCGGTTTTGGTAGAAGTTAAAGTAAACAAACTCATGTTCCTATTATTAGTTTTGTAAAACCAAACCGGCGTCCCCATCATAGATTGATTGATCGAATACATGCATGTATATGGAGAAAATTACAAACAAGTAAAAATGTGTGGTTATTTTCAGTTCATGTGGTTGTAGGACGCGTTGTAGGGCATCTCAAATAAGACTTGAGAGTACTAGAACGAATCATTTCTTGTTATATACATACTACAAAAAAATATAATACTTAATCTTGAATATGATTCCAAATAAAAAATAACATTATATGGCAATAGATAACGATGGAACCTCAACCAACCTATCACGCGCTCTTTTGTCACCATCGATGAGAAAGGTTAACAAGTAATTGTTATTGTCACTTTGATGGTAAGAGTCTAAGAGATTATGATAAGATTATTGGGAAGGGATGATATTTGTATATCAAGGAAAACTCCATGAAAATATATTTTGTGTACAAGTAAAATCAAACGCAAAACCTAATCACGCTAATGAACTTCTTTTTATTTTTTTGTTTTGGTCAAAACTGTAATTACGGTTTTATATTATCAAAAACTAATGTTAAGTTCTAACATTAAAACCTCACTAAGTTCTAACATATATATATATATATATGTATATATTATCAAAAATAAAAACCATCTGATTTTACACTATGAAAATTAGGTTATCAATTTTAGCAAATTTTTACTAATATATTAGATGAATAGTAGAATAGATAGTAAAAACTAATCCAAGAACGAAAACATTTGATCCAATAACGTATCGATCATATTTTGTTTTGAATGACAATAACGTATCATATTGACCAGTTTTAACCTCTCACTAGAGGACTACACAGGTTCTCGATACCAGTAAAATATAAAACTGGAAGATTTCCTATTCTAAGTATGTCGTACCGAAGGCCCGTATATAAAATAGATTTTATGTTACCTATGTACCACGTATGGGAATGTGATGTGGAGCCAAAACTTACCTCAAATTCAGTCGTGCCTTGAGGCGGAAGCAAAGAGCCTTTAATTGGGCAATAATGTCTTGCTTAGATAATTTGTGTATAAGTGTTTTCTCAAAGTGGTTCTAGGACACTCATCCAGGCTGTGAAAAAACATCATCTTTGGCCTCTAAGACCAAAGAGTTGTACAAGCGAAATCTTTAAAGGAAGGCAAGCCAATGTATGTGCCAATCTTATAGCCAAAAAAACTTCCTTATATGTTCGTTCTTTATTTTGAAACTCTAGAGTGTAGTAGTTATTTCCATATGTGGAAAAGGCGAAACATGATGTATGTGAGTATTCAATCAGTAAAATGAGTTTGGTTGAGTTGAAGAACAAAAAGAAAAGAAAAAATTTAATCTTAAAAACTGTCCTCTATTTTGTGTGGTACGCCCTAGCTAGCTAGTGCGGCTATGCCTCACCGCTAATCAAGTTATATATATATATATATTTTTTTTTTTAGTGATTGAGAACACAGACATTGGACCAAACGCACTTAACGTCAAAAGTATTTAGGCCCTAAAAATTAGTACTCATGTTCGAAATACAAATTACAACCTGACAAAACATGCAAGTTGTCAAAGACCAGTTTGAAAAAAAAAACAATGGAAAACCAAACAAAGAAATATGTTTTATCTTAGAGACATATAGTCATATAGGTAATGTCAGAAGATTGTACATTGAAATCTAGCACAGCAAAAAGCATTATTGTTCACACACATGCACACAGAAACATACACACACACGTGTACATTCACACGTACGGGTTCACACATGCACATATTCCCATAGGAATCTCCACCTCTATATAAGAAGATGCTTCAACATAAGTGTATGTAAAGTGTGTGAAGCTAAAGAGTAATTAAATATTAATGGCGACTTCAGGGTTTAAGCATTTGGTGGTTGTGAAGTTCAAGGAAGATGCAAAGATTGATGAGATCTTGAAGGGCTTGGAAAATCTTGTTTCTCAAATTGATTCTGTCAAATCCTTTGAATGGTTGGTCATTTATTTTATCATTTCATTTTTCAAGTAATCAAAATATCATCTTTTTGGGATTTGTAACTAATTAATGACCATAATAAAATTTGATGATAATTAGGGGAGAAGATAAAGAGAGTCACGAGATGCTTAGACAAGGATTCACTCACGCATTCTCGATGACCTTTGAGAACAAAGATGCTTACGTTTCTTTCACAAGCCATCCTCTTCACGTTGAATTCTCAACCGCATTCACCGCCGCTATCGACAAGATCGTGCTCCTGGATTTCACCGTCGCCGCAGTCAAATCTCCCGTCGAAGCATCACCATGAATCTTGTTATTATACCAAACTTGTTTCTTGGTTAATCTATTTCTATAATCGATGTTTTAAGTTGTTTCGGTTATGTAACTCGGTTGGTTAAGTATGTTTTGGTTTGATTCGTTTCTTTCCGGTATCCATTAATAAGAACCTGGTCTGGTTGGAACTTGGAAGTTTGATAATTTTTGCATAAGTGTTTGAAAAAAAAATGAAAAGTTTGTGTTAAGTGGAGTTCATGTGAGTAAGTCTGACTATTTATGTGGTATTTATCAAAGAAAACAACGAGAAAACTTTAAATAAAGTGGGAAAGAAAATTGCTAATTGCACATTAGAGTTTAACACTTGTCTGAGCTACATTACATGTTTGTTTGTGTATTTTCGTAATCGTAGAAACCCAAATATAAATAATTAATAAGCGTCTACAGATGTTAATGGGCCTTTGGCCCAAATAAAAGATTTGAAAGCTTGAAAAGTGAGAGTTAATGGGCCTTCAGACAACAGAGAGTGAGAGTTCTGAGTAGTGAGTACTTTCTACGAAACTCTTTTTTTTTTTTTTTTTTTTTTTTTTTTTTTTTTTAAACGAAAACTCTTTTACTGAGAGTGAGAATTGAGAAGTGAGAATCGCGGAGGTTGAAAACAGGGATGAACCAGTTGCTGCTCTGAAGTGTCTCATCTTTCGTTAGTTATTGGTCTGAAGCTTTAAACTTTATGGGTATTTATGGTCATCGTTGTTTTTGAGAAATCTCACGCGACGCTTCGACTTAGTTCGGTGGCCTACGGATCTTCCAACACCACAAAATCCTAAACCCATCAGGTGATTTCACCTTCTTTGCTCTTTTCTGATTAACAGACCTTTTTTGGAGTTCATTAGTGTTGATTAATCGAGTGCCGCTAAATCGGGAAATTCTGATGATTTGTTACTGAAATCCCTACTAAATGCGTTCTCGTACTTAGATTTTGCGAGTGGTTTTCATGGAGGGAAGAAAAGCGAAAGGAGTAAGCCACCAACGACCTGCAAGAGTGGATTTGATAAGCAATTTACCCGAGGCTTTGATATCTCAGATACTATCGTATCTTCCGACAAAGGAAGCTGTTAAGACTAGTGTTTTGTCCAGTCGGTGGAAAAGTCTCTGGCTTTTGATTTCCGGGTTGGATCTGGACTCTTCTGAGTTTCCAGATTACAGTGCCTTTGTGAGTTTGTGGACAGGTTCCTAGATTTCTCTGGGAACAGAAGTCATGCTTGCACAAGCTCAAGCTAAGTATTCGGAAAACTAAGAATGAGCAGTCTTGTGTCACGCGTTGGGTAGACTCTGTGGCTACGCCTAAACTTGAGCATCTTGATGTTGGGTATACTTATGTGTGTCGTAAGCGTTTGGAAGTGATCCCCGTAAGCCTCTTTGTCTGCGAGACGCTCCTTTACATAAAACTCAATCGGGTATTGTTGGGTAGTTTTGAGTCTGTTTCTTTACCTCGTCTCAAAACATTGCGTTTAGAGAAAAATACATATGCCAATGGTACGTGTCTGGAGTCACTTATCTCGTCTTGCCCTGTTCTCGAAGACTTGAGCATTGTTAGAAGGTTAGATGATAACTTAAGGGTTTTGCGAGTGCATTCTCAGACATTAACCTGTCTCAGCGTAGGATTTGATCTTGCTCGAGATTATGGTTTTTCTTTTTACGATTGGGATAGCTTAGCGCTTTTCATTGATGCCCCTAGACTTAAGTATATGAATTTGGATGAAGAACTATCGCCGAATAAAACCATAAGCAATTCGGGTTCCTTAGTTAAGGTCAATTTTGTTAGCGTCGTTCGTATTGCACGTTTTTATTTTGGATTTAGCTTATCAGATCAACAAATGGTCCGTAATTTTTTCAACAGTATCTCGGGAGTTAGGGATCTGATAATCTCTGAATATATTATTGAGGTATCTTTCTATAAAGTTCACACATTTATATAGTCTTCTCTTCTTTTCTTTAACGAAATTTTTGCTCACCCATAGTCTTCTCTTCTTTTCTTTTGTGTAAGCAGCTAATCTCTTACTACATGAAACTTGAACCATTTCCCCAGTTTTGCAACCTGTCCAGTTTGGTAGCAGAAGTTTGGTTAAGACGCGTGAAAATCCTGGAAATCCTGCCAACACTTCTTGAAAGCTTTCCGAATCTAAAATCCATCGTCTTGGTGATGACTTGCAACAACCTTTACAGTTTTAGCTTAGTTATGCATTTAGAGAAATGTGTTATATATTCATTAATCTTTTGTGTTTTGTAGGATTTAACTCATTCTATGGTCGACACGCCTCCGATAACAGTCTCGTCCGTGCCTCAGTGTTTGTTGTCATCGCTGGAGTTTGTAGAGATAAAAAGCAGATATGAGGCAAACTACTTTATTTTAATGGAACTAGCAAGGTACTTTGCAGAAAACTCTGTAATCCTAAAGAAACTCGTTGTGCGTTGGGAACGTTCCAAGCTAGAAGAAGATTCCGTCTTAAGGGATCTCCTTGCATTGCCGTGGCGATCCAACAAGTGTCAAATCGAAGTTTGTGGACCGCTAAAAAGACTTGAAGGTGATCTCTCCTAGGCTAGCAATTCCTTAGAGATTGGACTTGCGTTTTTCTGTTTTGTTGAATTCTATTATCATGTCTTTCTGAGCTTTGGCCACAGTGTTGTAGGATTCCAAAACTTAGTAAAAAAAAGTGCTATTTTTGAGAATCACCCTTTCTTAATAAATTAGTAAAAAAATTATGATCTATTGAAGATTGAAGATTGAAGGTTTTAACTATATTGTTAAAATATTTATCATCGTGTTAAAAAAAACTCTCCAAAAGGTATAAAAACAGTAATAGCACTCTCATCATTTGCATTTGAGAAATTCTCACGCCACCTCGTCTCCGTCCGTGGCCACCACACAAAACCCTAAACGCATCAGGTGATTTCACCTTCACCGGTTCGATTTTTGCTAGCGGATTTCATGGAGGAAAGGAAAGAGAAAAGACTATGCCACCAACGGCCTGCAAGAGAGGATTTGATAAGCAAATTACCAGACTCATTGATATCTCAGATACTATTGTATCTTCCGACAGAGGAAGCTGTTAGGACTAGTGTTCTGTCCAATAGGTGGAAAAGTCTCTGGCTTTCGATTCCCGGGTTGGATCTGGACTCTCGTGTGTTCCCAAATTACAAAGTCTTTGTGAGAATCATGGACAAGTTCGTAGATTTATCTAGACAAGAGAAGTCATACTTGCACAAACTCAAGCTAAGTATTCGTAAGGGTGAGTATGATGAGTATTGTGTCACGCGGTGGATAGATTTTGTGGCTACGCCTAAACTTTGGCATCTTGATTTTGAGTGTGGTCCTGTGGATCCTGACTGTTTGGAAGTGATGCCCGAGAGCCTCTACATCTGTGAGAGTCTCCTTCACTTAAGACTCCACCGGGCATTCTTGGATAGTTTTGAGTCTGTTTCTTTGCCTTGTCTCAAGACTATGCGTTTAGAACTCAATGTGTATGCCAAGGACACGTGTCTAGAGTCGCTCATCTCGTCTTGCCCTGTTCTTGAAGATTTGAGTATCGTTAGAAGGGTGGATGATAATGTAAAGGTTTTACGAGTGCGTTCTCAGACACTAACCACTCTCACTGTAAGCTTTGATTTTGGTGACTATGGTAGCGAGCTGTCTAGATTTGATAGAGGAAACTCGGGGCTTTTGTTTGATGCTCCTAGACTCAAGTATTTGAATTTCTTTGATGAACTATCAAAGAGTAAAATCATAAGCAACTTGAGTTCCTTAGCTAAGGCCGATTTTGCTGGCTTCTTTGATGTTCAATATCATTCTGATGGAGCTGGCTTATCGAAGAACCAACTGGCCCGCAATTTTTTCACAGGTATCTCTAGAGTTAGGGATATGATCATCTCTGGGGATACTATGAAGGTAAATGTCTATGAAAGTGTATAATGGTATTTAATGAAATTCATAGTCTTACCTTGGTTTCTTTTATGCAAGCAGTTCTTCTATTCCTACTTGAAAATAGAACCATTGCCCCAGTTTTGGAACCTGTCCTGTCTGGAAGCAGGATTTTGTTCATCTCACGTGAAGATCCTTCCAACGCTTCTTGAGAGCTGTCCGAATCTAAAATCCATCGTCTTGGTGATAACTTGCACCAACCTTAAGAGCTTTAACATAATTATTATGCATCTTGAGAAAATGTGTTATCTATAGTATATTCATTCATCTTACTTTGTTTTTGTAGGATCTCACTCATTGTATGATGTTGACGGATCCATTAAGTTGCTCATCCGTGCCTCAGTGTTTGCTTTCATCGCTTAAGTATGCAGAGATAAAAAGCAGGTTCACGGGAAGGTGTGTTGAAAGAGAAGTAGCAAGTTACTTGGTAAAGAACTCAGTAGTTCTCAAGAAACTAGTTGTGCATTTAAGCAGTTCCATGCAACAACAAAGCTTGGTCGTCTTACGAGATATCCTTGCATTGCCGATGCCATCAAGCATATGTCAAATTGTATATGTTGCTGATGCTGATACTTAGGTGAGTCTATGATCAGACCGGGACTAGCTTTCCTAGAGATTGGACTTGGATTTTGATTTTACTGAATCTTTTGTCTTTGTGAGCTTTTGGATGATATTTTTAAAAATGTGACTAAAGAAAACTGGAAGATACAAAGAATGTGATTCTGCGTCAAGTGATTTTGTTATAAGAAAAAAACAACACTTCTTCAGCCAGGTCTTGTGATGGGGGCGGACCATCTTCCAAGATGAGCCGTGTAGTTTGTGCAACGGATGACTCCTCTTCCGCTAGGACCATCCGGAAAATCTATGACGCTGATGCTGCCTGGGTCTAGGTGGAACAACCCGAGCCATTCTTTATCGAGGTTCAGGCATTGTGCTATGAGCGAGATGTGAGCCATTGGGTGACCAACCACCACCATGGCATCTCCTGGGTTTGACTTATCCTCGTCCGATAGTTTGTCTACGAGTGATTCCCAGGCTTTCCCGGATCTGTTCCATAGAGCTGAAACCGTTTCTTCGTCCAACTGACTTAGCCAACCAGGTTGGATCGATGCAGTCACAGCTTCGTCCTGCAGGATTTAGGGATCAGAAGGACCAAACCAGTGTTCACTTTACCATCAAATGGTGATAAACAATCTTGCCTTATTGGATTTGCGGAGAATGTCCTCAACATTAAGCTCATTCATTTGTTTAGTATTCACATAGCGAGGCACAGGATCTACACCCAAACAGCCCGCAGCTTCTTGTACCTGTTAACTCTTTAAACTGTCAAAAGAACACAAAATACACTTCTGAAGGTTTAAAGTTTGTTAAGAAATTGAGGTTAGGTAGATAGAGGGTTCTATAACTTACTCGGGATATTACTCCAGCAGTCTCAATGGAGGCTGTTGTAGAGCTACAAACTATTGAAGTAACCCTTAGATCAAGAAGAAGCTCTGCGGTTTTCTGCGACTGCAGTAATCAAGATGTATATATGATCAGAGAATATCTACATGAAGGATTAAGATGTATATATGATCAGAGATGTAATTGCCCTTCAAAACTCATAAGTTATCGGTTACCTGTATCTCCCCAAGCATGGTCATTGGCTGATCATTAGTACTAGCCTGTTGATCAAAGTGACTGCTTGGTTAATAACTGCAGAAACCCTGAAGTGTAAAAGAATGAGAAAACTCAAAAAACCAAGTGGCCTTTAAAACAAAGAAAATCCGGTAAAATCTGATCCAATGCCTCCAACTTTCCTTAGCTCAGAACATAGTGTAAAGAGCAAAACATCTTCCACGCGCATCCATGGAGGTTAATTTTGGAAGATAAAGATAAATTAAGAGATCAACTTTACCTCATAATCCCCCTGACCATGACAGACAAGTATGATCTGCTTACTAGCTTCCCGGCCACCAGAACTTCCACCAGCTAGAGGCGACTTAGGCGTCTGCATTTGTACTAAGATTCAATAAGACTACCTACAACATTCAACTCGGAAATCTTGCAACATAAATTTTTCATATAACTAAGATGATCATGAGTCCATATCAAAGCCAGTTTCATCGAAAAAGTTAGCTTGCCTGATTTAGTCGATTAAGACATACGTGTGGAGATCCACCGTCAGCTCTTGTTGTGAAGTCCAGTACACTTACACCGCAATTGCTCTGCAGCAAACTCCTAAAGTATTCTGCTCCCAGACCTATCATATAACCAAAGACAGAATCCGGAAAAAAAACAAAAATTTAACAGAGAGATGAAAAATCAGAGAGATGAAAAATCAGATAGTTGTTGAAAGAAGAAAAGAAGAAGTACCAATTGCTGTTGCCATAAGAGCCTGGTTAACAGCATTATGAGCAACAACAAGAACAGACTTGCTCTCGTGAGCAAGAATACCGGTCCAGCAGCTTCTAGCACGTGACCATAACTCTCTTACTGGATAGTGGCCATCGATGTTGAAGTTTGCTGGATCTTCTTGCCATTGCCTAAAGGCTTCACCAAACTTTGCTTTCCCCTCTTTCTTAAGTAGACCCTAATATAACCATCAGCTAGAAACAGATTTTAGAGAAAGCATGATTGGTCTATGAAATCTATATTGTTCCCATCACAGTTAAACTTACTTGAAAAGAGTATAGATCAATTTCTCTGAGATCGTAGTCAAAGATCATCTCAGTTTCTCGATTGCCCCATATGATCTCAGCTGTTTTCTTTGATCTCTTCAATGGACTGAACCAATTTATAACAAATGCAGCCAATTTACAAAATGCTTTAACAACGAAATTAGACCAATCACACACACAAGGGAAGTGAAATGCTAATCTAAAATCAAATTCAATCATCGTAATTCAAAAACACTTTTCTCTGCTTCTTTGAATCGATACAAACACCAATAAGATAAAATTAAGCAAATCGATCTAAAATCTAAATCCAAGAGACAGCTGCTATAAAGACATTTTCAAAATCCTCAAAACCCGATTCAATAGACCTAAGAAAAATTGCAGGACCTGGCGAAGCAGACATCGAAGGAGTCGTCGATGAGCATCTGGCGAGAAATATCGGCTTGATTCTCGCCTTTCTTCGTCAAGACGGAGAAATCGGAGCTCCCTTGAATCCTCCCTTCTTCATTCCATGTGCTCTGCCCATGCCTCACGAGAACCACTCGCTTCGTCGTCGATGCTGAAGCCAATGTCGTCTTCTCGTTGCCTCGGTCATGTTGGCTCGATGATGATCGAGTCCAGAAGCGGCGGCGGCGGCGAGTGGAATATGGCCGGTTAGTCAAGTGGAGGAGACACCGATTGGGTAAATTCGCTGTAGTGTGTGGTAGAGATATCATTTTTTTTTTAATAGAAGAAAAAATAACTAAATTTTCAGTGGTGGCTTGGCTTCTAATTGATATCTTGTTTTCGCGCGAATGGCTAGCGGTTTAATTATGAAAATACCGGACCGCCAAATCTAAAAATCTTGCCATTAATTTACAAAAAATAATTACAATTTTTGAAATTAAGAAATATTTTTGGCTGGTAATCATTCCATACTTGTAAACTAGAGTTACAAAAGTTTTTTTAAATCATAAAAAATGAATTTTGATTTTATTTATGGGTCTCAGAACCCACAATCAAAACAAAAAGAAATCTACCTTTTCTGAATATGTTTTTGGTGTAATATGTTGGTCAAAACCTAAATTATTTCATATCAAAAGTACATATACTTCAGAGTATACAAACTAATAAGAACCATGATTTTAAGACCATGTTCAATGATAACAACTCTAAAAAGGATGCTTAAATATTATTTAATTATTAAATTTAAAATCATCTTCATTTTATAACATATGTATGCTAGTATCTGTTAAGCATCGCTGCTTACAACTCTTATTTAAGCATCAATGCTCAAATTATTCTATTTTTATGATTTAATTTTTAAAAAAAAATTATCTAAACACTTTTCCTAAACATCTGCATTGAACATGCTCTAAGGCTTTCTTTGTTTTCTTCCCCCAAAAAGTGCCGGACCAATGTCCATAGAGTCCGACGTCAGAGATCTATTTATCGAAGCAATAAAATTGTCATTTAAAGTGATGATACAAAGCTAAAACATACCAACCATAAATTTCCTGTCATTAGCCATTCATATATTAATAGACAAATTTACTACAGCACCCATATATTACAAAACAAAGCTTTACCATATGGACTGTGGAAGCCAATCAGAAGATGCAAGGAAAGAAGAAACACGAAAAGAGACAAAAACGAGATTCATGTGCCGTATAAGTGGGGTACTTGAGTTGTTAATTACTTTCTTGATTAAGAAAAGACGTAGAATCATAAATAGTAACGTGAACATGTATTTAACACGTGCCTCTTCTTCCTTGATATGAAAGTCAATTTCGTCAACAAAAGAAAGTCAAGAATAACACATCTGTTTCGGTTTGTTTGACTTCAGTTTGCTTTGTTTAGGTTTTGGGAAAAAAAAATTCATACCAAATGGGACTATGATTTGACTTTGGTTTTGTTTGGTTTGGTCTGTGGTGAACAAATATATTTTAACAAATAGATGCCTATTGCAAAGCAGTTATAGGTTAATGTAAATATCTATTTCAAAATAGAATGTTTAAACTTTAAAGAAGTGTTTTTTATTTTATTTTTTAGTCGTTCTGTTTGAATTTTGGAAACCAAAGCGAACTTAAACCTTGACAACTGATTTCGTTATGATTGGATTCGGTGTTCGAACATAGTTCTTTCATAATGAAGATTTACATAGACAACAAGTTATATTGCTGCTGAAAATTCAAGAGTTTGTATAAAAAAATTAACAGTTTTTCTTTGTTATCGAAGCTGACTGAATAGTGAATTTCAACCTACTCCTTTTCGTTCTCTCAGATCATCTTGTTATGTTATAAGTCCAGTGGCGGGAGGGGATGCAATTGACCCTGGTGAAATTCAAATTTTTTTTATAAATATTTGTATTTTTATATAAAAACTAGATATAATATTAATAATTTAGCGTG